GTGACAGGTTCTCCTTTAAAGTGTAGCAGCACCTCGTTGTATATTGTAAGTTGTTTACTCGCCTGTCCCCGGATGTAATGTTCTGCAGAGATGTGCAGCAACACAGGCCTACATTCTGCAGCTTTCATAATAATAATGTCTGGTGATCCTTTCCTGGATTAGGCACAGGGAGTTCTAGGGTGACAACTGGCTCCTGGTTGAGTTCCTACATCACATGTGCCCCTGGTGACTGGTGGGGACTACCAGCTGCCGTGCCGATGCACATTGCTCCTGCATTGTATTCCTTTGTCACCATCAGGAAGCTGATCCAGTAGGGGGGGGGGGGGGGGGGGGGTTTAAAGGGAAGAAAGAAGGATGTCTGTGAGGCGGGGGGGCGGCTGGAGATTTAAAGGGTAAGTCCACTTTCGCAGGTGAATTTGGGAAAATGGAATCCCTCTCTACACTATACTTACCATTTGGCATACACGCCTTCCCTTTTACCCACTGATACGGGTGTACTGTCTGTACCCTGTACTGCTGTGTAATGCAGCCCTGCAGACCCATCAAGGGTCCCCTGTTCAAATCCCAGTCAGGGCACTCTCTGTTCTCCCTGTGCTTGGTGGGTTTCCTCCCACACTCCAAAGACATGCTGGTAGGTTAACTGGCCCTGTATGTTTGTGAGATGAGGACAGGGACTGATGTGACTGTGCACTGTAAAGTGCTGTGCCAATATCTGTAATAAATAATGGTTCTACAGCAGATATAGCCTAAGTGACAGGTTCTCTTTAGAGCAGAGGTAAGCAAACTCCGGCCATGCAGATGTGTTGAGACTAAAAATCTCATTAGGCATTGCAAGACTCTTGACAGCCATGACTCCTGGGGACGGATGCATAAGGGGATTTGTAGTATCACCACCTTAACTGGGGGGGTGGGGGGGGGTCGAGTTTGCTCATCCCCCAGTCTATTGCTTTGTAGCAGGATTGGCCTTGTGATGAGTTCTCTTGGCAACATATTCTGCAGCCTTATGGTCTTGGTGACGGGTCTTCTTTTTAAAATTGTGCAACATAAAAGTTCTACAGCAGATCTAGCCCAGGTGACAGGTTCTCCTTGGAGGCTATTCAACCTAATCTTCTGCAGCAGATATGGGCAAGGTGACAGGTCCTCTTCAAAGGCATACAATTTAAAGTTTGATCTCAGGGTATCTACTTTTTGATCTCCGGGTATCTTCTCACCTCTAAAGCAGTGTTAAGGGTTCAGTTGACTTGTCCCTCATGCTAGTTCTTGACTGCAGAATGACAGGTTCTCTTTAAACATATGCAGATAGCAAGGAACTCCATTCTGTAACATGTAGGGTTTGTAGTTCATTGGCAGAGGGGTGCCACGTGTTTCCAAAGCTTCAATGCGGACCTTTACACTCAAAAATCAAATTCTACATCCCTCTATGTATGATGATTAATAATAACATAGACATGTCAGGTGTAAAATGCTGTGATTGTGAAATTCTTACACTTGCAGAGCATTTACTTCCTGCTTAGAAAGGGCAAAATGACTTCAGTTTTGCAAAGCAATGCACACTGGGATTGCCTTGTCATCAGCAGAGCATTGCGGGGAAATCTCATCTGTAATCTCAGGGAAAGGCATTTTCCTCCCCTGAGATGATGTCCTAGTCACATGTGCCAGAAATCCAGGAAGTAATAGGAGAGCTTGTAATCTGCCCTTAGTAAACATGGCCAGTGTCAGGAGACTGGGGAAGAAAAGAGAAATAAGGAATGCAAAGAATACAAAGCCGGCAATTATCTAGAAGTATGTGTATGTAGATTGTCATCACTAAACGTTTCTAAAGGTTTGTTTGTTGTTATTTTTCTTCCTTTTTTAAAAAAATATGTGCATAAAGTGCTGAGAGGTTACAATCCCTGTCAGGGTTTTGCCACTACCTAGAGAATGTCCCCGACGGGCAAATACACTCTTAATTTGTCCTGGTGACCATTGTCCCTGGGACTGACAGTCAGGGCCTGCTCACCTCAGATGTAGTGCGTTCCGGGCCGATTCTAGCCAGAATGCACTGCCACAGCAGTTCCGGTGCGATCATAATATTGCTTGCAGCATTTTGACCGGACCGCAGTCATAATGTGCCTTGCGATCTTATGCTGTCGACCGCATTGTGGCCGGAGGGCGTGGCTACTGTGCCATTCAGTTTAATAGCCCGCCACTCCCCGTCCTGCACCACAAAAAAAGTGAGCCGGCCACAATGTGAGGCAGTGCGTTCTGGCTAGAATCGGGTCAGAACGCACTACATCTGGTGTGAACGGGCCCTTAGAGATCAAAATGTTGATTTGCCCCCAAAGCCATAACAGGACAAATTCCATTCCATTGGCAACACTTGTTACAGTGGCCATTTTCCTCACTTTTAAGAGATTTTTCTCTCACTTTCTGTTATGTCTACGGAGCTGGAAGTAAAGAGAAATCTCCCCAATTGGGCACAAATGCAAAACCAAATTGGACCGGGTAGTTTGGCCATTCTCTAATCAAAAATGAGATTAAAAGTTTTTGCCTTTTTGGTTAAACATTAAATATTTCCTGATGCTTCTAATTTTATGGTCACATGACCAGAGAGGGGCACCTGGGAGAATAAACAATGGAGTATCAGCACTCGGTGTGTTTATATGTTGGAAGCAGGTATAGAGACGGCGTGGATTGCTCCTCCTCGGTATATGTTCACACATCGGGAATGTTTTTTTGTACATGTTACTAGAGTAAAGGTCAGCAAAGCAACGTCCAACTCCGCAGACTTCAGAGCAGAGATCAGGGATCAAGTGACAGCAGAGGCCAAGGACACATTCCAGACCATGTATCATTCTTGCACTTGGGAACAGTAAGATAACAACATATACTCCATGTGGATTTTATATATCCATAGATGTCTGTGCCTCCCCAAAGCGAAGTAACCCGTAAAATACCTTCCTGTAATGTGAAGGAGACAATAGAAAAGTCTTGCAGGACCTTCCTGGAACTGCCGGCACATTGATAAATTCTCACTTATCAGCGATACAGCGGGTGATAATTTCAAGTGGAACTGAATCCCAGAAGCTAAGATTTGTTGTGTTGCCAGGAGCATTTAGAATTGTTGATTGTGCCAAAGAAGTACCCTGAAATATATCATTTCCTCTTGCGCTCATTGATGGACACAACGGAGAGCGTGACTGTTGGGTTATAGCGCCACCTTCAGAAGTAGGACTCTGAGCACAAAATAAAAGCACAGCCTAGGGGCTGCTTCTTGCCAACACCCACCCCCATCTGCTAGACCAGGGGTGGGCAACTCCAGCCCTCCATCTGTGCTTTAAAGGAGAACTATGAGGAGTGATTTCCACTCTTCCTCATAGTTGGAGCCGACCTGTGACAAAGAAGCTGTCACAGGTCGTCACAGGTCGGCTCTATCGATCAGGAAGTGAGCAGAAACATGCAGCCGATCCGCTCACTTCCCGATCGTCTACCTGCAGTGAGCGGACTGTCAGTCACCGCTCCCCGCAGGGATTCTCCCCCTTTTGGATCCCCCAGCGCTGAGTGGAGGAACGGATGGGAAGGGGGCGGGCACAGCTGGCTCTGCCTCCAGATAGGCAGAGCCCGCTGTCACTCATGCAGTTGGGTGGATCTCGACAGTATTGTCAGGATCCGTCCCAGCTGTGGCGATCTCCGTATACTGCAAGCTGTAGCTCGCTATCTACTGAGCTTTGGGTCACAGGAGGACGCTAATATATGTCCTCCCGTGACCCTAAAGAGAACTATGGGGAAAAACACTTACCTCATAGTTCTCTTTAACTACAAATCATATCCCAACATCCTTCTGCTTCTGGGCGTCATGTCTGTGGCTGTCGGTCTTGCAATGCCTCATAGGACCTGTAGCTCCTACAACAGCTGGAGGGCCAGAGTTGCCCACCCCTCTGCTAGAGGCAGCTCAGCTTTTTGCCCAGTGATCAGGAGTAATAACCTAATCTCCGTGCTGGGAATTAGGTGCTTTTTCTTTTCACAGAGAATCCTTCTTTAGTCTTCAAGACCTTCAATCAACTTTCTGAGCTGGGTGGCTAGCTGGATAATAAAAATCCCAGTAGTCCCCCCAAGCTTAGCCATGGCGCACACGTAGATCCCTTGCTACCGTGTTTCCCCGAAAATAAGACACTGTCTTATAAAAAACACACTAGGTCTTATTTTCAGGGGGTGTCTTATTTTTTTTTTTTTTAATGTGCAACAAAATGTACAACAATCCAAAGTTATCTGGTATCACTCCACCTGTCACAGTAACTGGCGCTATAGAGGAATATCGGCTAATGCGACTCTGCTCCCTCCGCCGCCGCAGCCTTGCTTTCTACAGCGCCGGCTTCCTTTGCCACCAGGGACTGTGGTACCAGCGGTGCAGCAGTGGGGACATCAGACAGTGGACAGCGCGGTAAAGTACGGTACCATTTACCGGTACACATTACAGTACAGTACCATTACATTAAGCAGTGTCTTCAGGGGGACAGCAGTTGGTGAAGTCTGGAGGGAGTCCCCTGTCATCCCCTTAATACAGCAAGTCCCTGCAGGCTGATACCATCTCTCCTGCAAGTTCCCCCTCACATGCTACCACCAAACTAGGTCATACTTTCGGGGTAGGTCTTATTTTCAGGGAAACAGGGTATGTATATAGCATTTTCCTGGAATTCCTCCTGACAAATAACATTGCACTTCCTGGTGGGCGAGGGTGCTTCCAGTCTCATAACTCCTTATCTGCAGTGTGAGATGTAAGGCACTGCTGCCTCTGAGGATCAGGAGTGAGATTTGGGGATGTCCCTACTGTGCTGTTCACGGTTCTCCTTGCTGGAGGCTCTGACATGAAGCGAAGCCCTGCCTCAACTTACATGATCACCTCCACACAGACACCGTGCACAACATGGCATGTTAGTTAGTGTAGGGGACCTATCAGTTGCATGGAGACTACAGGGAATATGGGTGCCTAGTCCTTTTCCCTCTACCTGCATTTTTGGCCACATCTTCCAGAGTTTAGTTCCTCTTAAAGGGAGATTCCAGTTTCCTTTTAAAGTGGATCTGTCACTTTGTCCATTTTCTGCACTCCCAGTCGGCTTTGTTTGCCTGCCGGAGAGCCAAGTGTGATCCCAGTGTAAGCTCCATATTGGTCTGTGTCGGAGCTTACACTGAGATAATAATGTCTCCATTTGAAGATTTCCCCCTCACATCCTGTTCCCTTGACAACTGTAAAATTTTGGATTTCTGTTCCGTTACAATGTTGCCAAGTCTTGTTATTCTGACTCCGATTGTTGTATAAGCGATTTTATCCCTTGCTGAGACCTCTATACCTGGCCTGTATAAGCAGATATAATCACTGCGGACAATCCTCATCAGATAGCTGAACTTGCCAAATACCTTTTCATCCACAAATTGCTTTATTGCTTTCAGCAGGTTAGTTACAGCAGACAACAGGATACAGCAGATGAATGAATACACAGTATTTAAGGTGGTCAAGGATGATAATGTTTCAAGCTAGCATGTACATGTGGTCCTGTTACAAGTAGCCATGACACTCGACTCGTGCAATAACCAGAATGACCACAAGAAGGCAGCACATTAATCGGCTATAATGCTGCTCACAACACATGGCTTAAAGGAGAACTATGGGGTTAAGTCTTTTCCCCATAGCTCTCCTCAGGGTAATGGGAGGACACAAACTAGCGTCCTCCCGTCACCCTATACTTGCGATATACTGAGACGTCACAGTATACCGCGAGCTATTGCTCGCGGTATACTGAGACACTGAAGCGGATCCCGACAATTAGTATGTGTCAATTTTCCCTCCTTTTTTTTCTTCTCCACGTCAGCCTGATGGCCATAGCGACATGAAGCCTGTTGCAGCACAGGAAACATTTCCACTTGTAATATACTGTGCTCTATCCCATAGCAACCAATCGGAATTCATTTTTCAAAAGCTAGACTTGTACAAGATGGATTCTGGTTGGTTGCTACAGGTAGTGCTCTGCCCCTTGTGCTGTTCTAAGTAACCCCGTCCTTTTTATTTCCAGCTCTCACGCAGGCAAATGAGAGTTCATCTTCTACAAGGTTATTCACTAAAGGGTGCAGAGTTTGGAGAAGTGAACAATCTAGGACAACATAGCTGAGCTGGAAAGTGAGCTGAATTGGAGAATTTTTCCTAATCGGTGATGTTTTCCTAGATTGTTCCATTCTCCGGCCTTCTCTAAACTCTTCACCCTTTAGCGAATAACCCTGTTAATCTCGTATTCCTACATAGCAGAGCTGTGGTAAGAAGATATTTATCATTGTCTAATTCTCTATAAATCTCATGCAGGTGCTACAGCACATCGCTAAGCAAGGCTGTAGAGCCCAGTCCACGGCCCCCCACGCTGCCACTTCTGCCTCTGCCTCCTCCCATCCTGGCTTCAGCTTTGGTAAGTTTCCATCTGCCAATAGGCTTTATCATTAGTAACCTCACATTTTGTTTTACCTTGCTGAACAAGCCCCATTGTGTTCTGTTCCCGCACAGAGCTCAGTGAGCAGCAGAAAGAGTTTCAGGCTACAGCCCGTAAGTTCGCCAGGGAAGAGATCATTCCAGTAGCCGCTGAGTATGACAAAAGCGGGGAGGTGAGCCGCGGGCTGTCGTCTTTGTAGCAATTCGAAAAGATTGTAATTTTGTGTTCACAGTATTTTGTGTGTCCCTCTCTTCTCTTAGTATCCGGTTCCCCTCATCAAGAGAGCCTGGGAACTTGGGCTGATGAACGGACACATTCCAGAACACTGCGGTAAGAGCACTCGGTGTTTTATGCTTGACTGATGGTGAAACGCTTTGAGGGGTAGGCTTGAATGTTTTATCATTCATGTTATCCAAAGCTTTTAAAGAAGAAATCCAGGATTTAAAAAAAAAAAAAAATTAACCCTTGCAGTGGGGCTAGCCCCGCACTGCAAGGATTACGTTTAGGGATTTGTGTCTAGGTTTAAAAAAAAAAAAATATAATATATATATATTTCACCCAAAGCTCGGAGCCAGCTTCTTAAGCTGGCCATACACCTGCAAATGTTCTATAGTCAGATGGAAAAAGTGCGACAGATTCCTCCATCCAGGCAGTTTAGCATTGATGGAGGAATCCGCCACTGGGCCAAGCTTCAGTATCTTGCTAGTCGGCCCCGTTGGCCCTCAAAATACCAGAACAATGCCTGCATCCAATCAGTTTGTTCAGGTATTTAGACAGCCAGCGGGGCCGAATAGCAAGATACTAAGGCTTGGTCCAGCAGGAGGTTCCTCAGTCCACACAGTTTAGCATAGATGGAAGAATCTGTTGCACTTTTTCCATCTGACCATAGAAAATCTGCAAATAATGATGTATGGCCAGCTTTAGACTGGTCTTTCCAGCATCTCTGCCTTTCCTCTGCAGCGCTTTAAGGTCCTGTAAATAATCGCGTATACATTGCTGCTGGAGTGAGCAATGTGACAGCTGGTAGTGGTCGGATCAGAGCTTCATGTGAGTATATTGTGCTATTTTTCTCCCTAGACACAAATTAACATTTAACCCTTGCAGTGCTGGGGTAGCCCTACTGCAAGGGTTAACAAAGTTTTCCCAGAGTTCTGCTTTCAAGTCCGATATTTTAAACTTTTAAAACCTTTTTATTTGCTAGAAATACATTCATGCCGCATCAAGACAATAAGTGTGGAGGGGGACATGTCTGCCTTTTTTTTTTTTGCCAAATTAAAAAAATAAAAGTAGAATTAAAGACACCTCTAACACATGCACTCCTATTAAAACTTTGTGTCATAGTCTGATCTACTAAGCCTCACCCCCCCCCAATGCCCTAACATTGCAGAAAAGAAAGAAATAAGGCGGGCTCTCCATGTGTGTTGTAAAGTAGTCACCGCTCCAAGCTGGCTCCCGTGATAGACTACAATCTCACGTTTAGTTAGCTCATTTGTATGGAGATTGTAGTCCATCCCGGGAGTGAGCTTGAAGCGGTGACTACTTTACAACACAAACAAGGAACATGGGGAACAAAAGTAGCCCCCCTCCGGAAGGAAGGACAGTGTCAGCACCAATTCAGAGATGATTTGAGGATCTACAGCCGAGTGATACACAAATAAGATAAATTTTTTAATAATAGTTCAGGTATTTTAATGCAATTTTAAGGTTTATCTGCTGAGTTTAGCATCACCTGGAAGAGTATGGGTGAAGCTGTGGAAAAGATGCACATTAGTTCTAGGGCGCCATAATAATCTCTTGCATAACATGCCGTATTGCCAGTTTTGTGTTCGATGGATTTGTGGCAACGTGCAGGGATTTTCTGCTCTCCAGGCTACTGCATTATTTCCTGTCATGTGACTGTTCCTGTGTATGGTCTTCCTACAGGTGGTCTGAACCTGGGTATCTTCGACACTTGTCTGATTACTGAGGAAATTGCCTATGGTTGTACTGGCATTCAGACTGCCATAGAGGCCAACTCCTTGGGGGTGAGTATGTGAAGGGGTAAAGCTAATGTCTTGCCAAGTTATTCAGACTTCTCTCCTGGAATGAAATTGCTTACTCCTGATTTTACTGCACACTTTGAGCCTTGCATAGTGTGCATTAGAAGCTGCAGTCTGCTAGAATCCGCTTCATTTCCTGGCTGGTGGAAATCCTTTTCCTTTCTTTACCAGCCTTGCTGTCCCTGGCCTGTCCCTTTTTTCATTCATTGCATTTCAGTTTTTTTTTTTCTTTCAATCATGAAAGCTCAGCATCACATGTGGGCGATACCACCGATCCCTGTTGGCATTTGTGTACGTCCTGTTTCTTATCTGTGAAGGCACCTTGGTATGGCGGCCTCCAATTTTGGGTTATTAAACTGAGTACGCTTGAATTGAGTACCCTAGGGACATTGGAGAGGAACTGCAGAAGATATTCATAAACTTAATAGGGATCTTTACCAAGACCTCTGCTAACAACATGCATGTGCCAGCAGCGCTGAGCACAGATGAATTGTCAGAAGTTCACAAGAGCTCTGTGGCCTCTTTTAAAGGAATAAGACTCTATTTACGCCAGCAGGAATCCCTAATCTGCTGTTTTACATTAGGCAACTGTCACCCATTCAAGTTAATCGGGTGACAGCCGCTGCATTTAAATGTTGGCACACTCTCTATGTGATATGAGTACATGCGGTTAGGAATCAATCGCTCTCCATGGACGCATCATTCGTGTGTCCAGAGAGAGTAATTGATTTCTAACCAGATGTAACCATATCGCATACGATTACATGCAGTGTGCCGGATTCAAATGCAGCGGCTGTTACCCGATCATTAACTGAAATGGGTTACAGCTGCCTCTTGTAAATGGCAGATTAGGGATTCTTGCTGCAGGAAATCCCAAGTCCCTGATGCAGGAATCCCTAATCGCAGCTAAATTCTAGGTGTGAATGGAGCCTAAACGTCTCTATCTGTTAGACATTACTGAGCATCTCAGGTATTGAACAACCTTACCTCTGCAACTACAGCACATTGGAAGATAGACATTTTTTTCTTATAGAACTCTAATCAGTGTTTTTTGGGGGTTTGTGCTTGTTTCTGTTAATGTGTATATTGCGTATCTTCCCACATTGGTCATGCAATGTTTTACACATTCTAATAGCAGCATCTGGAGGGCACCAGTCAAGATGAGATTCTCCTGTCATCACCCCTAGAGGGCGACATCTGATCAGTTTTACATTGCTACCACATTGAAGTGTCCCTAGCTCCTATGAGATCCATATTAAACCTGGACATGTCCATTATATATATATATATATATATCTCTAACACACACACCAGATTATTATGACAACCCCATCAGTACTTCGTTGGGCCGCCTCGTGACTCCACGAGATGTTGAAAGGGGATGCGAGGAATCTGACACTGCACTGTTGCCCTTCTGTTGTCTTGTACCAGTCTTGCCACTCTCCGTTCTGCCCTAACATTGACTAGTCGCTGACGGCCACAATTCGCACGTTCAGACCCAGATTTTCTGCTGACAGTCCAGTCTTTAAACACTTTAACAGCTGCTCTTGAACATTTAACGAATTCTGCTGTTTTGCTGATACTCGCTCCATGGCTCCGAGCGCCAACAATCATCCCACGTTCAAAGGCTGTTAAATCGCGTTGTTTACCCGTATCTTCAGAAAAAAATCGCTTCTACTGTCGTGGTAAACAACCTGCTTCCCTATTTATAATGGTGTGGCCCTCTACAGCCTTCCTTCAAACTCCTTATGTGTGAGGTCCAGAATTCTACAGGAAAATGTTCTTTGGCCATAGCACTTAATCATCTGCTGCAGCTAAGAAAATAAAAGGAAGACTGCGGTTAGCTCAAGCACTTAGGACACTCTTCACACAGAGGGCTTAGTGTGATTACATGATTTGCTGTTAGCATTCTGAAATGCTGAAAGCACATTGTATTTAGAGATGGTGACAGATGTGTTAATTTTTACAGCAAATGCCAGTGATAATAGCTGGCACTGAGGCGCAGCAGAAGAAGTACCTGGGAAGAATGACGGAAGAACCTTTGATGTGTGTAAGTAGAGCGATTAGTGTGCTCTTTGCATTTTGAGAAGCCAACTTGGTTTGGAAAAAGAGGGAAATGAGAAAAAAAAATCATGCACCTTTCCTATTATCTTTAAAGTAGAACTCCGGGAATAAATAAAGTAAATAGAAGCCCCAACCCTCCAGCTATTGCAGGGTTCGATTTTAATAAGGGATGATCCAATAGTGACAAGAACTTGCCTTAGTCCTCCAGGTTCCTGCAGAAGCCAGCCGTCTGTTCCTCTGCACCCCAGTGCCAGAAGGTGGCTGGGCACTTCTACATCGATACCACACATTTATAAAGCACAACACTGTGCGTTACATGCATGCTCTGTGCTCCGCTGGCTTAGCAGTTCCAAGCACTGTTATTCTGATGAAGGGAAGAAAGTCTAACTTAACTTATGAAAGTCACATGACTGGCCTCTCCTCCCATGATTGAGTTCTTTGCAATGTTAACCAGAGAGAACTTCATGGGACACAGGCTGCACAACACAGCATTTATTTTAATAATGGAATGCAACATTGTAGTATATAGTGGCGAGTATTATTATTATTATTCTATAAAGAGGCACAAAATGATATTTCTGATACTGTCCGCTAAATTATTGAATACACAAGTAGCACAGTCTGTGTGCATTCTTTGCCTGTTTTAACAATTGTTTACAGTGAAGCGTAATAAACTTTTTTTATTTGTAATTCAACTGGGTGACCATCTGCCTTAACAGTCAGCTGGACACCCGCTCCAAAATCTGGCTTGAGCCCAGTTTGAACTTTTTGCTTACTAGATATGTTTGCTAAACTATATTGTGTCCACAGGCCTACTGTGTAACTGAACCGGGGGCTGGATCAGATGTGGCTGGCTTGAAGACCAGAGCAGAGAAGAAGGGCAACGAATACATCATCAATGGACAGAAGATGTGGATCACTAACGGAGGCAAAGCTAACTGGTATAGAGTCCTGTTCTTTATGTATTGTATGATTTTGTTTTTTTTTCCTCATTCTATTGGCCCTTACAGGGCAAGTCAATAAAATACTTATTTCTTTCTCCTCGATTGAGGGACACTGGAAGTGTTAACCCTTTAGGTCATACTGCTGCTTACAGGAAAGTTATAATTGGGCAAACTATAAAAAAAAGTGTGTGCGTGTTCCTTCTGATCGGCAGCTATCCGGTACAGTAGTCCTCAACATTGCTTCTGCACTCTACTGCATCCAGACGCCACTGTACTGGACCTTGTAAGGTTAGCCTGCAAGTGACCTTAGGGCCATGGGTTCTGTGTGGAGCACTTTCCACATTTGGTTCTGGTTAACTTATCTGCGGAGTGCTGTCCAGATCCAGAGCCGCTGGCATTTCCTCTGCGCTTCCCAGCGCCATTCGCTTCCTCGTTTTTCTTTGGTCGCCATTATTCCACATTTCCCACCAGCTGTGCCGTGGAAGCACCGTGGGACTAAACGTTGACATCATTTTCTAGACTGAGTAACGTGCACCTTGCTCTTTCCCGCCATATAGCATTGAGGAGGCATCTCCCTGTTGCTGCTCCTGTTGCAAAGAACCACATGGCAACTCGATCTTTGATCCCTTCCTACTGCCCGCCTACAGTGACTTTGGTCACCTCTGGCCTCACAGCCCTCTGGTTACTGACCCTCATCTACTACCAGCTACCAGAATTCAGCAGACAACAGGGGCAAGCCATTATGTTGTGGCATTCCCTGCAGCATTCAGGAATGTCTACTTTGGCTGCAGGAAGAAGGAGCCCTATTGATGTCATATGACAGACTGCTCAGAGGACTACTGCAAGAAAGGTGTGTGTATAAAGGGAACTTCAATTACATCAATTAGGCTTTAAAGTAAAGGTAAATGGCAGCAAAATAATATGAACATTATTATTATTATACAGGATTTATATAGCGCCAACAGTTTGCACAGCGCTTTACAATATAAGGAAGACGTTACAATCACAATACAAATCAAGACAAGATGGTAAGGAAGGCCGTGTCCCTGAGGGCTTACAATCTAAAAGATTAATTTCTTCAGGCCAACTAGTGTAGGTTACTGCAACAAAAGTAGCACAATGATTTATCAACCTGCACATTTTTGACTGTTGCTGCCTTTGTCGGTATTATAGATGTTTTATCTGTCCTGCAGGTATTTCCTTTTGGCTCGGACTAACTCTGACCCCAAAGCCCCAACTGGAAAAGCTTTCACTGGATTTATTGTAGAAGCCGACACTCCTGGGGTACAGCCCGGAAGAAAGGTAAGTAGATCTATAAATCTAATACATGTCCATAAGAGATATAAAAGCCTTTTCTAATTTTAGTGATTGAGTTTACATATGTTTTTATAAATCCCTTTTCTATTCTGTAATGCCAAAATAAATATGTAATACATTGGTCTACTCTGCACTTTATGCGACGCCATCACTGTCCCAAACAATTGACCAGTTCTGTTCCCTGCAAAAGGAAAAATCTCAAAGCTGAACTCCAGGGAACACAGATTAAATATTTTATAGGGTGGCTGTTCTACCTGCCAAAGGATTTGTATTTCTGTTCATCCATTTCAGAGATATACACAGCCCTGCCACACAGCACAGCCTGGTATGGCATGGCAGGAGACCTTATTTTTGTCTGCTGCAGAGGGGTACGTTTTACAGGTCTTGTCTCTCCCCCAGCCTGTGACACAGTGAAAGAAGAATTAGCAGCAGTAATGTGACTTGCAGGATTCTCTTCAACCTCCTCTCCAGCTGTGCATGGTCCTCAATGATGCAGAGAGCCTCGCTAAAGTTTTAATGCCAGCATCATTCCTTGCAGCTTTGGTGTTTTTTTTTTGTGTGTGTGGTGTGTATAATATGTATAAAACCATACAAGTTAAAGTATTTCACTTGGATATACTTTATTTCCATAAATTATTATATCTGCTTTTGTAGGAGTTGAATATGGGCCAGCGATGCTCAGACACCAGGGGGATTGTGTTTGAAGACGTCAGAGTTCCCGCTGAGAATGTCCTAATTGGGGAAGGGGCTGGCTTTAAGATCGCTATGGGGGCTTTTGATAAGACCAGACCACCGGTAAGATCTGCTCAATAGGAAGTCTTCCACAGCTGAAGAAAGACCTTTTGCATGACTGTTCATGTCCTTGTTACAGGTGGCAGCTGGTGCTGTTGGTCTTGCTCAGAGAGCTCTGGATGAAGCCACTAAATACTCTTTGGAGAGGAAGACATTTGGAAAAGTCATTGCTGAGGTGTGTGACTGCGACACAATGATATAACTGTGCAGAGATGCAAAGCATGCTTCTGTTGTAGGCCCCCACCGTCCTAAAAAAAGAAAGGGGGTTCTATTGGGATTAGGGTAAACTGGTTCAGTTTTAATTTTGTAGGTGTGAGCGGGTTTACTTGTATTTCTGTTTTTATCCTTTTATTTGAACCACGTGAGGTTTTCCTGCCCTGGACTCCAGTTTGTATTGGATCTCATCTATGCCTAGAGTCCGAATTGTAGCCTGATAGATGATAATTATTTTAATAATAGAAATGAAACCTAACTGTAACTAACCCATGTAAAATTCTTCAAATCTCTCTTAGCATCAAGCTGTCTCTTTCATGCTTGCGGAGATGGCCATGAAGGTGGAACTGTCTCGCCTGGCGTACCAGAGAGCAGCATGGGAAGTGGATGCAGGCAGAAGGAACACCTACTATGCTTCCATTGCCAAGGCCTTCGCTGGAGACATTGCCAATCAGGTGGCTTCAGATGCTGTGCAGATTTTCGGAGGCAATGGATTCAACAGTGACTACCCCGTAGAGAAGCTAATGAGAGATGCCAAAATATATCAGGTAAGGAATGCACCAGTAGCAAGATTTCAGCAAAGCCAGAGGATACAGTACTGGGTTATTAAAGTAGAGGACTTTCATTGTCATTACCTCCATTACACATATGAAAACAAACAATTTATTTGGTAGAGATCTGTTGTGAAACTGGGAAAATCGGACTGCCTTGAAAGGCGCAACCATTCATGCAAAAGCACAGAGTCGGATAGCTCCTGGATTGGAAAGTTTGAATATTAGACTAGAATAGCAGAAGTTGCTCAGTTTTCTCTTTCACACATAGTATGCAGCAGCAAAAAAGTGATAGGACCCCTCAAGTGTGGGTGATGAGATCAATCAGGAGGATCCACTAGGTCAAATAATGTTACCAGGACTTTTTGTGATTTTTCTTGTTTTGGACATCCATAGAAGACTATGCACCACATTTCTATGCAGGTCTCTGCCCCTTTCAGCAGCCATTTGAAGCTTGAGTACTACTCTCTAGAAAAAATGTGGATAAATGGGGCTTTTAAGGCACCAGGTGACAGATCCAAGGAATTACAACATCATTAATAACAAAAAAAGAGTCTTTACTAGATACAAAAAGGTTAAAAACCATAAAATTCATGTGTGCACGTATGTATCATTCTAGTATCAAAACACCTCCACTCCTACCATCTTGGGGTTCGGTCCTCAGTTGACACTCCTTATGCTCTGGGTCTCATCTTGGTGGATCTGGTTGGATGCACACGAGTTGCCTTCATGTTTGGCATGTGGCATCATTGCCAGATTATTACTATTCATGTTAAATTTGGGTGGATATTATTATACAGGATTTATCTAGCACCAACAGTTGGCGCAGCGCTTTACAATTTAACGAAGACAATTCAAGACAAGATGGTAAGGAGGGTCCTGCCCCTGAGGGCTTACAATCTAAAAGGGAGGGGCCAGTGATACATGAGGCGGGAGCTGTGTGGGGATGAATTGTTTGAGAATGGGATAGTTCAGTGGTTAGGTTGAGGTGGGATAGGCGTCCCTTATTAGGGGTGTGGCACCAATCACTCCGGACTCTTTCACAACAACTTGTTTTAAATTGTTTCCTACTCCTAATACCGGCCCAGGGATGCTAGTGACATGACGTGTTTGGCAACGTTTGCAAGGTGCCTAAAAAAAATAATTAACACCATCTGACAAGCTTTCGATAAGCCATATATGTCAACCTCCAAGTGTCTTCTGTTGCTGTGGAAGGAACATACAATTGTAACTAATTCCTGCTATGAAGACCGATGCAAATGCTTTGAAGTGCTGTATAGAACAGTTTTGTTTGCACAAATCATGTAGATTAAATCCCATTACTTATAAACACAAATCGTATGGCTGTGATGCAGCTGAGACTACATAAAGCTCGCTGGATATATCGGCATTCCATAAGTGAGCAAAGCCAAAACATGTTTAATAAGCACAAAGTCTGCACATCCCGATCTTCAGGGCTCGAAAAATCCACTCGTCCACTCGTCTGTGACG